TCAAGTGCATAAATATATGATGTTGCTGTTTTTACAGAAAAAACTTTATAAAACAGAGGTGCTTTGCTGACTTCGTTCGAAGCTATCAGAGCCTTTTAAGTTTTGCATAAAACGAGGAGCATAAAATTTTTGAAAAGGGTATAAAAATATGGCATGTTTTAACTCAAAATTTCATAGGTGCTCTGCAGCATTCTTTGGTATCATAATTATTACTAGGTTCACTAACAAAATCTATTTCTAGATTATTTTAACACTTGCTGCGATTACAAAAAATGTCTCTTTATGTCAAAATTAGAAAAAAAATATTTATAAGAATAAAGGGCCCTATACACTGTTTATTATATGTGATATAAAAACAAAAAAGCATAATAAATATTACAAACCTTGAGATTCAACATATCCTAAGCATTGTGCACTAAAAAACAGCCACATCATAAGGTTTTTGCTGTACTTTATGTTTAGGTGTAATTTGTCTCCTTCTCTCTTATGGAAAAAGTAAATATCTCCATATTCTTGCTTGGCAGATCTAAAAATAAAACCTGAGATAAATATGTTTTACTATAAAGTGTACTGCTTCATATAAACTGTAACTACCTACCATTAAAACAATTTATAAATAAAGTTTTACCTTTCTATCTTTTGGAAACTGAGTATTGTTAAAAAATGCAGTAATCATCTTGGTAATCATATTTTCGTTTACAATCATTGCGTTCGGTTTGCCACGTTCCTTTAACTCCTTTAACACTTTTAACTCCAAACGACTCTTTTAGCGTTCGGTTTAGTCCGATTAGTGACAGTTTAACACGCTTAAATGTCATTTAAAAGCACCCTAAAATTTGTCCCGCTCCAGCCCCTGACTGACCGAACTCGCCTAATGGGAAAAATACTTGATTCAACTTTTATAAATACAGCTGATAAATTCATATTCTTCTTCCTTTATATATCCTATATCCCACAGGATAATTTACCCAGATAAATGCAGATTAATAATAAAATTAAACCAAAACAAAAAACAAAGGTTAGTTGTTAGGTGCTGTCAATTTTTAAATGTCACTTAGATGTGCGTTCACTTCGACACTCTGTATGTAGGTTTGTTCGTTGGCTTGGTTTTGTAAAACAAAAAAAACTTCGACACAAGCTGATTGGTCTATTCCCGATGACGTATAATTTTAAATTTCAATTGGGCTTAATTTAAAAACTTTTAGCTTTTTTAACGAACTGATTATTTAGAATAACTTGTATAGCGACTAACTATTACAATATAGTTTATAAAACAGCATATCTCACATGTGAACATGGCCCATGTGCTTAATTGTATTTACCGACACAATTTGTGATTTCCTACAAAATGTATGTTTTTTTGCGTTTCCTGAAAAAAAAAACTGATTTTGGACATGTGTCGTTTTTGTCTTCATACCTATAAAACTATAAATAAGATGGAAATAATAGAAAAGTCCTAACGTTTGGATACCTAACTGAAGATAGAAATTGCTTCCGATTATACCAACTACCTACTAAAACTTTTTTATCCATAGATAAACTATTAATTTATCTATGTTTTTATCTCTATACAATACTAAATTGATGTAAATTTATTTATTTAACGCAAATTCGTCAACTGAAATAAGTTAATATATTTTAAACCCTAAAAGTAGAGACGCCGCTGATAATAAAGTACTTTAGTTCCCTTCACCCCCCCTTTCTATATTCCCCCCTTGTACCAAAACAAACGGTATTGGATGCTACCTCTATGAAATATATATGCTCGAAGGGCGTAACCAATGAACTGGAGTGGGGCAATGAACTGGAGGGGGGTAGAATGCCAATGTACATGTTGTACTATTAGAACAAGGTGCGACTCGATGGGCGCAGCCATTTTTATTGTTCATCTCACTCGGGACTATTTATAATAACCATTTTCTGTTTCACATTGTTATTGTTCAATCCACAAGCTGGTGGATCAGACAATAACAATGTGAAATAGAAACTGGCTATTTTAAATACTCCCGAGTGAGATAAAAAATAACCTATCTTCGCCCATAGAGTCGCACATCAAGTCTATTGACAAGCATTCTACCCCACTCCAGTTCATTGGAGTGGGGTAGAAAGCCAATGTGCATATTGTATCAATAGAACAAGATGAGACTCTATGGGCGCAGCCATTTTTATTTCTCATCTCACTCGGGAGTATTTATAATAACCATTTTCTGTTTCACATTGTTATTGTTCAATCCACAAGCTGGTGGATCAGACAATAACAAAGTGAAATAGAAAATGGTTGTTATAAATACTCCTGAGTGAGATGAAAAATAACCTGTCTTCACCCATAGAAGGTGAGTTCGGGCTGCGCACTCCAGAGTGGAGTGGAGTAATTAGGCGTAAACGGAGTGCGAATAAGAGTTTACTCCTTTAACTCTCGGAGTGCAATGTCAGTTGTCAATGTTACATACCAGTACTTAAAATTTAATCGTACTTATCCACAAAGCACATAGAGGTTCCACGTGAATGACCAAGGTCAAAACCGACAATTGACATTTTTTATGCTATTTGCTCCAAACTCTAGATGGGGCTACTGGTAAAATTCTGATTTCTTACTCCATTTTTAAGCTTTATGGGAGAAAAACTTAACCAAAGACTCCAAAGATGTGACGTGTATTTATTTATGTTTTTGGTTAATCTCATTTTTCCGTCTGATTTTAGTGATTTTTTGTTGGCTTTGGCTTTTGGTTTCTGTTTATAGTTTCGTCTTAGTTATAACCTACTGTGTTTTGCAATAATTTTGGTGCTACCTGTGGGTGCTACGTTGAAAACTTCGAGAAAAACTTCATTGATTCACCATGCATCTGCATCATAAAAAGAAACGGGTATAACAACTAATTGATAATCAATTTATCACTGGACTAGATTCCGAAATCATTTTTCACATAAGAGAGTAATACACAAAGCAGTGGAGTAATACCACCATCTGTATTTGGAAGGAAAATACCTATTTATCATTGAATGAATAGTTAAAAGGATTCACCTTTTAATACAACACCTATATTACATTTATCCTCGGTTTAAAAGACATTTATAAAATATATTATTTTAGTGTTAATAAAATGTAATATCCTAGTCTCTACTTCACATTTAAATTATTGATAGGTATTTTAAAGATTTGAGATTATATACCTATTTGCTGCAAGTAAGTATTCGTTAAATATGTATTATTATTTGTATTTATTTTTATCTAATAATATTATTTAAGTTATTAATAAACATATTTTAAGAATGTTCTATTTTATTGTTTATTGATATATCTCATATTTATTTAATAATAATATGCAGAACCAACTCTTCACATCAGACCCCTGCTTATAACAAATTAATTCCTCAAATTTGGTATAATCGACCTAAATTATTTTGTAAAATAAAAGTTTCGAACTTACTAGTTCCATTCTTTATTTTATAAAATAATTTATGTGGAAATCATTTAAAATTTAATTTAAAACTACTACCTACTCCTAAAAATTACAATTTGAATTTACCGCCATCTGTCAATTGTCATTTTAGTTCCAGCTCCAAACACAAGGTGGCGCCAATTTGGTTTAAAAGTTTAACATTGGCGTGGGGTCTCTAGAAGATACGTGCTTTGTGTACTTATCAGTAACGACCGTATAAGTTTCTTCCATAGTAATGATATTCACGGGAACCAAAAAAAAACTTATTTACTAAAGAATCAGTCACAATTAACTTATTATCGATTTAAATCACCTTATGCGCATGCCCGATCCACACTCCACTCCACCATCTCCGAACGGTCAAAGAGGAACTTTTATTTTTACTCCTTATTTTTACGCCTTAGGTACTTTAGGAGTGAATATAGTGAAAAGAGTGCGTAGACCGAACTCACCAAGAGTCGCATCTCAAGCCTATTGACAAGCATTCTACCCCACTCCAGTTCATTTGGCGTAACAAAAAAGCTACAAAAAAGTTACAAAAAATGAGCCGGGTCCGGGCTGGTGCCGCTACAAATATGGGCTAAGCTAGCGGATCCGCGCTTTTCTCAGGTTCAGTACAAGCTACAAAAGGGAGACTAGCGTAACAAAAAAGCTACAAAAAAGTTACGAAAAACCAGCTGGGTCTGAATCTGTGCCGCTACTATGGAATTTATGGAAATTCAAGCTAGCGGATCCGCTGTTTTTTCTGACCTGGGCAAAGCTACAAATTCGCAAATAGCGTAACAAAAAAGCTACAAAAAACCCACCAGGTCTTGTATGGTGCCGCCACAGAGTGCCCGCTAGCTTGATATAGCTTAGATTCTATGGTTTACTCTTTACGCCTTTACTCAAAACTCAAAGGTTGGCACAAGGAGGAAGGTTGGCAACACTGTTCCCTCCTAAAATGTCATGTGTCGGTGTCGTTTCAGAAAAATCAATGATCAGTGACAATGATCAATGATCACAAATGGCGAAATAAAATAGGTGTCAAGCGGGTTGTATTTTCTAAAAATTATAGAAAATAAGAGAATATTTGACAATATTGTCTTTCTCAACGTGTTGCTGATATTTGTTTAATTAATAGGTAAGCAATTTTAGTTCAAAAGTACACGGAGGATTTTATTACCAAATGCTGTACTAAAGACCTGAATTCTGAATTACGAAGTTAAAACTGAAGAGCAGCTTTATTTTGACTTCATTTTCAAACTTTTTAAAGTAAGCTGTTAAAATATATACAGAACTAACGACTATACCGTTGGTATCTTGGCAAAAATAAAAACTTGATGGCTGAAGACTAAACTGAATTAAAATTCGGCCATATTGTGTTGTGTTATGTGGCGCTAATTTTAAAATTTTATACTTATTCTGTATAGGTAATTTTTGGTAGCTTTTTTCTACGGTAAGTCTTACTAGAAGTTTAAAAGTTTTTAACAAGTTAGCTCGTTTTTCAATTGCTGAATATTTTTTACAGAATTGAAATACCTATCTAATTTTGAGGAAGTGTCTGTTGGTGTTTTAAACATGGAACCTTGTGCTCCAGGTACCGAAGATGATCCTCCAATTATGTATTCTACACTTAACAAAAAGGTACTTGCATTTTTTAAGTAACTATTCATCTTGATAAATAGTTTTAATATATTTTAGTAGGTTCTTTAAGTAGGTAAGTAATGTATATATATTTATTGTATAACATTTTTTTAAATCAACAAATTTAAAAGTTCATAGAGTATCGGACAGTTATTGTTCTCAATAGGTTGAGGAGTAAGTAACAGAAACAAACTAAGCTCATAAAATTAAGCTTAGATATTTCTAATACTAAAAGTACACAATTCTGCAAGACTTATTAGTTTTCTATATTTTCAGTTAAATTTAAATAAATAATCGAAGGAAGTGTACAAAGCTAGTGAGAATTTTGGTCGTTTTGTGAAAGTATGGAAGCTGCTAGTTTTTTTGGTAACCTTGCTTTACAAGTGTGAGGCTGAGATAGCTGCGGTGCGTTTAGAAACCTCGGACAGTGCATCTGGACGTTTCAGAAATTGTTCAGAAAGTTAGGTAAGAAGATGTCACACCCTAAAATCTTGGGTGCAACCATCCAGAAATTACATTCTGGTTACAACTTTATGTCCTTCTCAAAAGCAAGGTGTTTGAGAAGTGTCATGCCATACACTCGACAAATATTTGTTGGTGGGAATTTCAAGTTATATGTTAGGTGTTATCTTGGCAAATTGTTTTTATTTTATTAGGTTATATTTTACTGTTCAATATTCTGTGTATACAGTAATCCAAGCTGTACAAACGTACTATAAACTATTTTTTGAACAGGCAGAAAGTGATGAAGATGAGGAAAGCGAAGTCATAAAATTGCTGTTTTCTCTGGCCATAAAAAGGTATCGATTAAAAGAGTACCTGTCTGAGAGCCACATTATATAGAATGGTGTATTCAAACCTCTACAAATGCTAAATTTCAATTTCTTTGTAGAGACCTTTCTATCTTTGCCATTGACAACAACTGTCAAGCAATATTAAGCAATGGTGACGTGACGTAATGGGAGTCATTCAGAAACACTGGGTAAAAACGCAATTTATTTCCTATAAACGTCACACCCTGGCTTGTTGTATGTCCTAGCATTCTAAACGCACCCCTGCAACATGCTAATTCACACTATCCTTTATATTGATGGCTAGTATATCTAATTGAATAACATGAATATAAGTCTTAAGGGACCAGAAGTTATAAAAACTAAATTATAAGCCTGAAATGGTAGAGTTCTAGATACAAAAATGCTCACAAACTAGGAAAATAATTATTAGGGTGTGTATGTATATCATTATAAAGTCAAAATAAAAGAAATTAATATATAACTTTTGTGAGTAATCACTCTTAATCAATAATGTGTCTTAGATTTAAATTTGGTGTGATTTTGAAAAGTGTTTATTTTTAATGTAGTTCAATTACACTTTTTTATATAATCTCACACAGTTTTTGGAAAGCTGAGAAGCATGACGATTTCCAAAAGAAACAAGATTCATACTTATAGGGAAAGTAAAAGTTGGAAAGGCTTTTGGTAGATAGAGAGGGGGTAAACGTCAAACCACGTCGGACGGCTTCGAGAATTTCGCAGTAATGTTTACCTGCCAGTGTCGTTTCATAGAATAAGTAATTTTAAATTGTTATCGGCGGAACCAGACAATCGCATGTATTTATGGACTATAAATAATTATTAAACATGTATTATAATATTCAAATCATAATTTTACAAAATTTTCAACAGCTATTCACAATTTATTAAACTATTTACTCAAAATTGTTATTAACATCTATAAAATAATTGTGTACACCTATGTATCGCGTCCACTTCGGTGAGATCCCTAGCAAACCTGTCGATTTATGTGTATAAAGTGGGAGAACTGGCAAAAGCCTTTCCAACTTTTACTTCTGTTCTAACACTTAAAAGGGCCATATCTTTCTAATTTTTGAGTTCATAAAAATGTTACTTAAAAAGAATTATTTCATGCAACTATGTGCCCTATTAAACTCACTCAACTTTAAAAGTGTGTATGGATAGAAAGCTTCTGTAAGCATTTTTACTAGAGTTTAATTGGGTTTGTCCTCTTTTAAGAAGTAGAAAAATAATAAAAAGTATGTAAAATATGTTTAAAGTTTGGTGTTTTCAGTCAATTTATTATTTGCACCAGTAACTGTTGAAGCAGCATTGCAGACTGATCTGCTATATTTTTTACACTAATTGCTAATTGAATTAGAATCCTGCATTTCAGAGTATCACATTTATGCTAATTTTTACTTCACATTCTTTTTCACTTATCATCTTTGTTGAGGTTTTTGCTTATCAACTTACAAGTATATATTTTCATACAGTCCTATTACAATAAGAACACCCTACATCATAACCATTATTTTGAATTTCATATGTATTTATAACTGTCAATAAATAAAGAATAAGTGAGTTTGGTTTAAAAAATACTTCCTATAATATTAACAAGTCACTAAATCCTTAGTAGGCAGTGGTTGTCAATAAATACTCACAAAGTGATGACGCCACTGTGTCTTATTGTAATCAGATCCTATCTACTCTATTCTCAAAAAGTTTTCTAGAAACTCTGAATTTAGTTTTTATGACTTCTGTCTTTTGATACTTTGGACGCCATTATTATGAAAATCTGAAGCTTAAAGCAAAATGTATTAATGTTTTGTTTTGGGATTTTCACCAAATTACAATAGCGCTAGTTTCTTATAAGAAGTTCGTGTGTTAGTAGTATGAGGTAGACAAGTATTCTCTATCATGAACTTTTTACAATATAACTGTTTTCGCTGACAGAGAGGACAAGTTTTATTCATTTAGTAAACAAATTAAGTTTGTCCAATCTTACATTCATAATTTAAAAAAATTAATACTAAGTAATTAATATATAAAAATAATATTAACAATTTAACTGCGGGATGGGGCCTATTTGGCCTCGTCAAAGTTCTTTGTATATGGCGAAAATAGTTTTTTTTATAAATCTACATATATGGCAATAGGTGGACTAATAGACCTTCATTAAATAGAGTTCTTTAAAAAATGTTCCCGCAAGTAATGTGTTAACTACAACAAAATTTTTCTGAAGTCAACAATGTTTTGTTTAAAAAGCTTGACGAAATAGATATTGAAGCTACAATAAATGAAAAATAAATAAATAAATTCTCATGGTAAAGTTGTTTTTAGTACTCACTATTATGATCATTTTTAATTATTCTCGCTTGCTTTTCATTAGGGTGTTCAGCTATACAGCTTCTGTATCCTCTTGACAACCACTACAGACAATATTTATCCTTCAAAATAAAATTGTAATTAAATGTAGTATATGTCTGCCTCATAAGTGTACAAATATAATTTTCATCATGTCTGCAGAAATAAAAATGGTTAAATATTATTCTTAGCAACATTTTGTTTCATATTCATTCTGAAATGGTAATAATTATTATAAGCTGTTATTTAAAGTAACCACCTAGCTCACCTGAAAATATGGCACATTTCAAAAATTAAGTTGGGCTTTTGTATAGCACACTTGAAGTGGAAATCTGTTTGGTTGTAAGGAATAAAGGTATATTCAAATAATACGAAAAAATAGTGGGTTAAAGAATTACCTTGATACCTGTTTGTGGTAATGGTATATAGTTTATTTGAAAATGAATGATAGCAAAAATTTTATGACCCAAGAGATAACCCCCAATATAAAATCATAAATCAGTGACGGAGAATTTCTAAATTAAAATGTTCAGCATTATTTGTTCCAAAATTTATTTCAATTCTTGTTAAATTTTCTAGTCATTTTAATCAACAAGAATAAGGTAAGTATGTAATCTCTACAGGTAGAAAATATTTACAATTCAAGATCAATTTAAGTAGCCCCCAACTTTCTTAAAAATTATTAAAATTTCTAATCGGCAGAAAGTGTTATGCAGATTGTAAATTATTTTAGTTAAGATTTACATTTCTGTTTGTATAGTCCTGTGATTATAACACGCAGAATTGTAATAAAAGGCGATCATAAGCGATGTTGAACAAGTGAATTTGTGCAATAAAAATGGCACAAACTTCCTGTGAAATTAAAGTGCAATTTAACCGTGCATATGAAAACTTCAGTGTTAAATGTACATAACCTCTTGTACATGAACATTTCAATAGTACTGTTCGAAGTATAGTTTCTAAGTGTACAAATATGATCGGATCGGAGTTGGAAAAGCAATGAAAGGATGGAAGTATTACAATAGCACCTAAAACGTCAACTGGGAGACGGGAAGAAAAGTGCATTCGTTTTATTTACAAAAAAAGTACCTACTTTGGATAAACTTTTAGTAGACATTAATGGAGACGAAACTTTGCCAAACGTTAAAAGAGACATTATGTAAAACTTTACATGAATTAGACTTCGTTTGGAGGAAGAATGATAGAAAATCTGCGCTCAGAGAAAAATGAAATTGTTTGTTGGAGGAGGCAATATTTAATGGAAATTAGAAAATTAGGAAGAGAAGACAAATATTTTTTATTTGGATGAAACATAGACGAATAAAGGACATTTTTCAAAAAAATTGACAAGATAAACAAGTTACAAATGCCCGTCAGGCATTAATAGAAGGTTTGTCTACTGGCTTAAAATTTTGGATTTGTTGCTAGAGGCTTGTTAGAATTTGTTTCAAATTCTATGAAAGAAATGACTGCTGATGTTTTTGAGGAATATTTCAGTCAAATGATAGATTTATTACCTACCACTTCTGTAATAGTTATGAACAGTGCCAGTTACCATTCAATATTAAAGGAACCGTTATCTAACATTATATTGAAGAAGCAAGAACTCTCCGTTTGGCCAATAACCAAAGAAATAGTGGCAGAAGAGGGATTACTCAAAAACGAGCTATTGCAGAGTTATGTAAACAATATTCATCAAAATTTAAGAAGCATAGTGTGGATGAAATATCAAAAGAACATGGAGTTCAAGTGTTGCGGTTACCACCTTATTGCTGTGAACTTAACCCCATTGAACTAATCTGGGCTGAAATGAAGGGATATGTCACGAGAAACAATACA